ATAAAAATATCTTTAATAAAACTATCAATTTTGCAATAATTACAGACAGACCAATTGTAATCAGCTTACATATAGATTAGTAATTGAAACAAAAACCTTATCAATTTTCATATTTTTTATAGACGTCACTATTATCTATTAAAATTATTACTTTTAAAATAAAATAACAAAAACTACTAAAAACTAAACGTTAAGATTTTTAAATAATTTTAAAGAATCTAATTATTTAAGCATATAAATGTAAGTTATTTTTATTATTAAATTTATTAATAACTGAAGGTAAAATATACTGCTTTTTCCATTTGATGATAGATGGCGCTGTTTGAATAACTAAAACAGTGTTTTAAATTATTTTACCAAGGTTTTAACTATATTCTGATCTTCATTTATAAATATGATATTTATTTGAAAAACCTCCGTCATTCCGCGTATAACTAAGACATAATACGAAATTAACATCTAAAGGAAGGAAAACACTTAACCTCCTTTTTTGATAATCCGTAACCGGATAAAAAGGAGCCTAGAAGTAGCCCCGGGTTACTAACTACCTAAATACAAAATTTCATGTAAATCAGACCAATAGTTTTTGCGTGAATCTGGAATACAAAGAATGACAGACTGACAGACAAAAATTCTAAAAACCACTAATTTGGCTTCAGAACCCATTATTTAGTCCCCTGGACTTGGTTTTTCAAGAGTTTAGAATTAGAGACACGATTTTTTTACTGATTTATTATATGTATAGATTTATCTAGATATTTTCTTCATTTTAGTGAACGCTAATAATTCATTTATTTGTATTAGTTAGTCAATAATATAATACGTATATTAATAATAATATACTACGAAAGGAACTTCGTTCCAACCGAGTATTCCACGACACCACGCATGTTTTTTTATTTAAATATTGTTTCCTCTACAAATAATCCTTTTAAAAATAAAATTAATCTCAAATGTACTTTTACGTAGAAAATGGGTGATACGCGAGTAAATAGTTGACCATACGGTAAGTGAATGTTGTGGCCCATTGACCTCTACATCTATTCTTGATTCAGAATCACCAAAATACAAACAAAAGATCAACAAAATGCAGACATGTTGCCACCACTAAGGACAAAGATAGAATACAAGTAAGAATCGTCTTCAGTATTCTACACTCACCATACAAAACACAGCAACATTATTCTGCTGTTTCACGCTGGTATTCTACTTGCCGTTTTGCCGATACATTCATGCCTCAGCTAAATATAGTTGCAACGTAGCTCTACCACATCTAAAATATTTGTATAAAATAGACATTGTAGCATTTAATTTTAATCCTTGAAATATTAAGAAAAAAACTTTCATGAAAATGCTACTAACCATATCCAGTTTTATATTCCTCTATCGTCTCTTACGTCACCTCGGGATGAAATAGAATGAAATAGAACATGGCAATGATAAATGAATCATGAGTCATTAGACAGGTTAAATCAAGTAAAGTAACAATCTTTATTTTCGTTTCACTGTCGAACAGGCTATTGTATCTATTTCTGAAAGGGATTTGGGGCAGTAAAGAATCTGCCGCTCTGCTCAAGGCGTGTTCGTAGACTTCAAATGCTCTTAAATATTTTTTTTTATAGGAGAGGGGGTAAACGAGCATGCGGCTCACCTGATGGTAAGTGACTACCGCCGCCCATGAACAACTGCAACACCAGGGGAATCGCAGATGCGTTGCCGGCCTTTTAAAAAGGAGTACGCTCTTTTTTTGAAGGTCCCTAAGTTGTATCGGATATATATATATATATATATATATATATATATATATATATATATATTTTAATTTCTTGGACATGCTTGTTTCATCCTTCTTTTTCCTGACACTGAGCTTCATTTTAATTTTAATTTAGTACGTGTTCTAAATTAAAATTAAAATGAATAAAATGACGCCAGCGGGGATGTAATGTACAATGCAATATACGGTATAATATACGCTCGCGTAATTTGATTTTAAGGCGACATTTTTTACCATATGCCGCGTAAATCACTCAGTAGTAGACCGACAGCCATCGAGATGATGAGGATGGAATTTTCAGTTCTGTTACAGTATACTAAGATGGAATTCAGCAGATGGAATTAATCTGAACAATTCCTCTGAGTACTCCCCGTGATATATGCGGTAGAAGATGCATACAGATGCAACGTCTCTTCGCAAAAGCCAATGCATCAAACCAATTGGAAAGAACTTTATCGTCGACAATTTGGGCTGGTATCTGTTGAATACGGTCAAGTCGAAGGAGCTGATAATTGGGTGCTCCGTCTCAGAGATAAGAACAGTAGTACATGTGTGGCCAAACTGTGCTTTCTAAAGCTGCAAGCGGTGGGCCGGCATGAAATATCGTCTCCACCTACTGAGCACACTGAGCTTTTTTGATTCCAGCTTAACCTTCTCTTCCAAGTGAATGTGCACTGTACGTATCTTAAAATGTCGACACCTAGGATTCTCATGCTGGGTGAGACAACGAGGAGAGTGCCCTGAAATCGAGAAGATACGACAAAGGGGTACACTTTGTAGTAAACGCGCAAGTTTTTGTATTTTGGGGATTAAACTGGACTAGATTTAGTTGCCCCCAATCCGAGAATTTGTTCAACAAAGACTCGACTTCAGACACAAGTTTGTTCCGATACTTGACGACGTATTACCGAGAAATATTAGCACGGCCGATGTTTAAAGTATCGCCAGTACTGTCGTCTGCACAACAATGAATGTTACTAATATGCAACATATGATTGATATGCAGAAGGAATAGGGTAGGCGATGGCACGCAGCCTTGTGGAACCCCAACATTCACAGACTTGGAATCGAAGCATGCACCGTTGACTACGACCTTAATACTTCGATCTGTAAGAAAACTGGTGACCCAATTGCATAATTTATCGGTAAGCTCAAAAGAGGGAAGATTCGAATGAAGCGCTTTGTACCAAACCCGATCGAATACCTTCCCTTTGTCCAAACTAACCGCTAGGGCACCCTTCTTGGTCTCACCTCCATCTATCGGTGAGTTAGATAGACAAGAAGATCACTAGCTAACTGACCTTGACGGAAACCGTATCGGTCACTAATCTGCGAATACTCTTCAAGATACCGCATGAGCTGGCAGTTAATAATGAATTCCATTATTTTGGAGAAAAAGGAGGTGATGGTGATAGGCTTTAGTTGGACGGGTCCGGGTGGTTGCCTTTTTTCAGGATCGGGTGTACTAAAGTTGTCTTCCATGAGCCTGGGATGACGCCTAAAGAGTAAGAGGGCTGGAAAAGACGCGTAAAAACCGGTAACAACTCTGGCACATACGTCTTCAGCATAAGTGAGGAACTCCGTCAGGATCAATCAACTTGTTGACGTCTAGGGACAGGAATGCTTTGCGCACCGAGCGCTGGGTAAATAGCACATACGGTATTGAGCACTTGCATCGCGGTATGGTGTGCGGTGTGTTTGAGGAAACACACGTTAGGCCGCAAAAAGATAATCTAAAAGATCGGCTTTCTCCTTTGCGGCGTAGGCCAGCGAGTCATTCTCCCCGCGCATAGATGGCTTACAGAAATTGCCTTGGGCAGCCTTAGCAAAGTATCAGAACGCACAAGTTCCCGAAGGAAGGCGATATAGTTTCTCGCCAATTTTAAAGTTTATGTGATCTGAATTTGTCCTAGCGATAACTATTTTGAAGGACCTAGAGGGAAAATTGTGCTTCCTTTTGTGCTAGTGTTTGCATCCCCTGATGGCGATATGTCAGCCCAGGCCTTGTAACACTCCTGCTTTTGCTGCAGTTTTGCTGCTTTGCAGCTCCTGCAATTTTGCAGGAGCGCCTACGCATACCCGCTTCGCGGGTGCAAGGAAGGGTTATGTCGGAATTGCACCGACTAAAACCCCCTGGTATTCCAATTTTGCCGCACATTAACAGAGCCACGGGAACGTTTTCTCACATATTACCAGCACCGGCCACCCCATGGCAGCTCTTCCCCTTTTGCTTTTTAGGTATGGCGCACCAGGAACACAAGGCGCGCTTTTCTCCGCGGCCTGAACTCCACCTGCAAACCGGAATCCCCCGAGCCCGACACGCGAAGGTCATGGGGCCAGGAAAAACTAGCACTCGAAAGCACCCGCTTTCTCAACCGCAGCGTTGGATTTAGTGTATGGCTCCGCTGCCAACTAAGATTTGTTTGCAGAGGGTAGGGAGAGTGGCGCCTCGCAATACCGACGCTCCTCTCGAATTATGCTTTTTTTTGTGGCAACCCTGGTTATAAGTTGTAAAAGTAATTGGTCCCGATAAATTTTAATAATTTAAATATTGTAAATTCACCATATCCACCTCAATTTTATGTTATAGCTAATAATTACTGCCGCTTTGTATTTAATATTTAAGAAAGTTGGTACATAAATATTATAACAACAATTTGGTGTTGGAACAAAAAGTGACAGGTAACGAACATTGTTTTAAAAATTATTGTAATCCTTATTTCATATCATTCCTTTTATAAATTTAAAATTTATTCTATTACTCGGGTTATTACATTCTTTGCGAGTTTCTTTTCGAATTGTTTTAACGATAATTTGATTTGAGACTTATAAATAGAAAAAAAACAACAACTTTACATCAGCTTACTCTGCTCCTTCTGTTTTCGATCTTTGTTTTCTTTTATTATTTATAATAAATAGTAAAATGAATACTCGCAACGCCAAGACGTGCCAGATGGAGAACCAACTCCAGCTTGCGCTCCAAGAACTTAAGGCGTCCAGGGAGCAGTGTGAACTGTTGCTTAGGGAAAGGGATGATAATGAAAGGGAAATAGTTAGCATAATTGCCAAAAATACACAATTGAAATGTGATATGGTTAAGTTGCATACAGAATACACAAGTGTTATAAAAGAAAGAGATCAGCTACAGGGAACGGTTAATGAGTTTGACCAATGCAGCAAGGAATATGAGGAAGCTCTCAGGTTAATTGCTGCATTGAAGTTACAGTTGAATGAGGCTAATGAGCAAATAACACAATTTAAAACATATATAGATAACTTTAAAGCCTCCCAGACTCAAAGCCTGTTCTCTGAGCTTGTGCAATGTGATACTTCAAGAATGTTACAGCAATCTGCAACAATAGACTTGACTGGTGACGACTCTTCCACTTCAGGAAACACAGTAAGGATTAATTGCAGTAAAACCGAATTGAAGAAGTATATAAAAGTTAATAAATACATAAGGAAAGTACAAAAATTAATAAGAAATAAGATTAATACCAAAAATTATGTTAATGTATGTAAAGAAAAGCAAGCATTGTTATATGAACTTAAGTTGTATTCAATTGAGGTGGATAACATAAAAAAATGTTATGAGACTGAAGTAGAGTGCCTTAAATCAGAAATATTATCACTTATGAACTCCCTTCAAACTATGTCCAATAAATATAAATCAGCCCAAAATGAAATAAAAGAACACATATTGGCTATGGATAATCTGGTAAAGACTTGTAAATATAATGAGGAGCGGTTTGACTCCTTAGTTAAATATCAATGTGAGTGTCAGCGCTCAATGCCAGATTCTTCAAAGTCAGTGTGTGCTGATAATATTACACCACCAAAACTCTATGACAGTGCCATAGCAGAGGATATTAAAATAATAAATAACTCAAATACTACTAAAAATAATATAATTGTTTATAGCGATGACATGGGAAAAAATCTAGGCTAACTTTAAATAACTCTTTAAAGGGACAAAAAGCTACAAATTGCTGCATGCCTGGAGCATCTTTTAGTGACATCCTAAATAAAATTATTGTTACTAAATTTTGCCCAAATAGTACAATAATAATTTTTGTTGGTAGAAGAGGCAGTGTCAACAACAAACAGTTATTAAGATATATTGAACAACTTAATAACTTAAATGTACACAAAATTGTCTTGTTCACACTGCCTTATATACAGGGATTGCCACAAGAAAATAATTTAAGACATAATTTAAATATACAAATGCATAATTTAATATGTAATAATAATTTAAATTTGACATATAATTCTAATGATAATAATCATAAATTTCATGTAATTGACATAAATAATTTAATAAAAAAGTTTTGGACAAAAGATAGGTATTACCTATCCAAATATAATTTAAGACTGATAGCAAATGTGCTATCTTATTATTTACTTTTTAACTCAGCCAAGTTTTTGGCTACCAAGACTGCTTTTATTGAGCATAATCATTTGACATTTAATTTGGAATCAGTTCCAACTAATATAAATTAGTGAATGTGACAATAGAGGCAATCTCTAGCAATAATAAGAGTTTAATTAATTTTGAATACAGCCCACAAATAAGTAATAATAATTGTTTACACCTGGTGCATCAAAATATACAAGGCATGTTGGGCAAAGAATTGGAAGTTGAATTGTTTTTAAATAGTAACATTATACACATCCTTTGTATTACTGAACATTGGCTAAAAGATTATAATTTCATGTTTAATTTCAGAAATCACCAGGTGGTCCTTAATATTAGCAGATAAATCATTATTATATAAAGAACGTAAGGATATTGTGAGCCTCTCTGTTGAACGAACTGTAGAAATGGCTTGTGTCGAGCTCGAGCACCTCATTGTTGTAAGTGTTTACAGACCCCCATGTGCTACTTATGACCATTTTGAAAGGATTGTGGAAGAAGTTTTACTCAAACTTAGTAAACAGAACAAGTCTGTTGTAATGTGTGGAGATTTTAATATCAATCTCCTTGAAACTTCTTCCATTAGTATTAAGTTTCGCTCATTGTTTAAATCGTATAATCTTGTAAATTTATTCTTAGAACCAACACGTATTGCTGGGCCTAGTGCCACCTGTATAGATAACATTTTTACAGATGTTAAGCCCTTGCATAAATCAATTATTCAAAATTTAAGTTCAGATCACTGTGGACAGTTAGTATCACTACACACAAAACACAAATACATATGTATACACAAAAAACAGAAAAATAAGAAAGTTGTGTTTGTTCCAATAAATGAACATCGCTTGGAGAGGTTTAGAAGTAATATAATAAAAAGACTTCCACCACTTTCGTTTAAAAATAGTGCTAATTATTTGTATGATACATTATTTGAAATCATACGTTGTGAATTTAGTAGAATATTTACTTCTAAAACTTTCTCTCTTAACAGTCGCAAATCATTTAATGAATGGGCGACAGTAGAAATTTATAAAAGTAGGCGAAGGTTATACGAGGAGCTTTATGATGAAAGATCATATAATAGTAGTGTTATATTTAGAGATTATGTAAAAACATATTCTAAAATATTTAAAAAAGTGTGCTCCACTGCTAAGGCTTTACATTTAAGCAACAAAATTAAAACTGCATCCGACAAAATTAAAATGACCTGGAGAATAATAAATAGTGAAACGGGCAAGGTCAAACCGCGCAACTCGGATTTTCAATTGAATATTAACAATAATTTAACGCGATCTGATCAAGAAGTTGCTATGGCTTTTGAGAAACATTTTACTGATGTTCCTTTTTTGACAACAAAATCATTAAATTCTTCTCCTACTGTCGCCGAATCATTGCTCAAACAAAATGTAAAGGCTTGTTCAAATACTTTTAAATTCCATAGGGTACTGCCAAAAGATATCGTTAAATATTTTAAAACTATTGATGTTAAGAAAACGGCAGACTTATTGGGGATTTCCGTTAAAGTTATTTTATCTATAATAGATACATTAGCACCTTATCTAGCCACTATATTTAATATAAGCATCGAATCTGGTGTGTTTCCTGATTTAATGAAACATAGTAAAGTCATACCTATATTTAAATCTGGTAGTACATTAGACCCCGCCAATTTTAGACCAATTTCTGTACTACCAACATTAAGTAAAATTTTTGAAAAAATTATTTTAGATCAGATGTTAAGTTTCTTCAATATTAATAAATTGCTACATAAAAATCAATTCGGTTTTACAAGGGGTCGCTCGACAACTGATGCTGGAGTTGAGCTTATTAAACATATTTTTTGTGCATGGGAGAATTCAGAGGATGCTTTGGGTATATTTTGTGACCTTTCCAAGGTCTTCGACTGTGTTCACCATGAGATATTAATCAGGAAGCTACAGTACTATGGTGTCAAGAACACAGCGCTTAAACTTATTATTTCATATTTAAGTAATAAAAAACAGAAGGTTATTATCAATGGTAAAAGTTCTTCCGGGTCACCTGTACTAATGGGTGTTCCTCAGGGCTCGATTCTCGGCCCATTCCTGTTTCTGGTGTATATTAATGACTTACCTCATCTTGTAGGGGATAGACATGATAAAGTATTATTTGCTGATGATACTTCCTTGATTTTTAAAGTTAAACGTCAATCATTTAAATGTGACGAAGTGAATAATGCTATATCAAAATTAGTGCATTGGTTTAAAGTTAATAATCTGCATTTGAACGGAAATAAAACTAATTGTGTTAAATTTACAACAACGAATGTTAAAAATCTTAATACCAATGTGTTTTTAAATGGGGAGGAATTGAGCCCTGTTGTATCCACTGTTTTTCTTGGCATCACTCTTGACGCAAAGCTACAGTGGGGCCCCCATATATCAAAATTAGCAAGCAGACTAAGTTCTGCAGCCTGTGCTGTAAAAAAGATTAGAGGTCTCACTAGTGTCGAGACAGCTAGATTAGTTTATTTTAGTTATTTTCATAGCATAATGTCTTATGGGATTTTGCTATGGGGAAATGCGGCTGATTCAGAAACTATTTTTGTTTTACAGAAGAGGGCCATTAGAGCTATTTACAATCTAAAACCGAGGGAGTCCTTTAGAGATAAATTTAAAGAAATTAATATATTAACTTTGGCCTCTCTGTATATTTACGAAAATTTAATGTATGTTCACAAAAACAAAGATAGTTTTAGTAAAAGAAGTGATATACATTCTGTAAACACTAGGAAGAAACACAAGCTAGTGATACCAGTTTCTCGACTCCACAGAGTCAGTAATTCATTCTTGGGGCAATGTATACGTTATTACAACAAGGTCCCGGAAAGTGTACAGGTTCTCTCTATTACCAAGTTTAAATGTTTTATTAAGCTGAAACTGTATAAAAAGGGTTATTATAGTATAAATGAATACATCGTTGATAATAACCCCTGGGAATGAGGTGATCGCTTCCAAGCAGTTTCTAAAATAAATTTTGTAAATTGTTCGTAATCATTTATATTGTAAAATTTATTTAAAAAAAAAGTCCCGCTGGGTTTCTTGCTGGTTCTTCCCAGGACAGAGGGTTTTTTCAAACCAGTGGTAAAGTAAAAAATGACTTTCAATAAGAATTACACATGTAATGAATATTGAATAAAAAATATTCTATTCTATTCTATTCTATTCTCCCTCCGCAGCCCCAACACCACCGCATCAATGGTGCGGCCGCGTCAGAGTCGCGGAGGACAAGTGGTGCGTCGCAAAAAAGCCGCCAACTGCAAGAAAACTGGTGATCCCATTGCATGACTTCTCGAGAAAACCTTAAGTAGAAAGCTACGAAAGAAGCACTTTGTGCCAAACCTGATCGCTATGTTTAACTAATAACCAAGACCTCCCATTTGAACTATATTGCCTTCGCTAATTTATAAGTCAGGTAAAAAAATAGCAGGTATTTAACACTCAATAAATAATAATAATGCCATCCAACATTTGACAGGATTATTGAGCCCAAGTTAGTAATAAAGTGCTTTCTAAATTCTCTCACTGTAATAACCCGATGTGTTGGTAATCCGACTGACTGCTTTGTTGGTCTAGTGGTCATACAGGCAATAGCTGATCATAAAGTACCGGGTTCAAATCAAATTCGAGTCAAAATTAGTTATTAGGTTTTCGAAGTCAAGAAGTTTTTCACCCCCATGCCTCGGAAAGCTCGTAAAGTCGAAGTGAGGTTGGTCCTGTGCCCGATCTCTCTTCGGGTGTAACATTAAATTGTCTAATTATTAATGTAATATGAGTGCGATCATCGCCGCAAGCACATATTTGTTGCAATTGTAAGTACCGATTTACTATTGATTCCGCGTTAAGGAAAAACGTCACTCGTATCTATCAAATAATTCCTCTTTATTATTACATTTTGTATTTGCCGTTGCTCCTTCGAGAATAACAGGTTGTTTTTTCTTTTTTAATAAATACTAGGGCCTTACTATTTTTCATTAGCAATTAAGTGAAAATCCATTGCAAGACACGAGTCGACCACATTATAGGGCGGGTAAACGCCACGGTAGGCGAATAGGGGAACGTAGTACCAGATGCTTTTCGACTTTGATGCTCTCTGTCGCCAGTCTCACATCAGGCGTAAACAGGATAGTTAATTCTGCGTATATAGGAGCTATGAGTTCGTCCTAGTTCGACGCGTTATTATTTTCAAAATATATATGTACAAATAAAAAGAACATGCTATGTTAAGGGCGAGTTTTCTATACTCAGATAAAAGTTATCCGTGGAGTAAATACAACGTAAACTAATTAAATATTACAATTAAGAAAAAGTTCAATTATTTCACTTTGATAATCAGTCAGTTTTAATTTATTTGATGGATAACTTTTATGTGAATATTGGAAAATTTGCCCTAAGTCGCTTTAAAATATCGAAGGATAAATTAATAATATTTTACAAAGCCAAAATTTATTGATTTTCAATATTAAGTAAAGTACTGTTCACCTTGAAAATTCTATTAACTGACCAATAATGTTCTAAAATATTTAAAAAATAATTAAATGGAAGGCAATTTTATTACAAAAGTAGGAAAACATAGATTTATAAGTTTTATACTTATTAAGAATCTGATTAAAATGATTTTATTATGTGGAACGAGCTGAGGACTGCTTTTGTGTCATTCCTTGAGGGAGGCCTATGTTCAGCAGAGGACTTGTGAAGGGCTATAATGATGATGATGATATATATTAATGTACACACTTTAATGTGAACATATCAAATGTATTATAAATATATACGTAACAAAATAATATGCAATATTTGTTACAATAAAAATCAAAGCTATAATTTATATTCCATTTTCATTCATTCATAATTCATTTTCAGCCTTTCTAAGTTCATTGGTGAACACCGACCCACCCATAAATTACAACTGGGGAATATTCCCCAGTTGTAATTTATTATGGTAAATATATATTTACCATAGTTGCCACGCTAGACCGGCTGTTTGGCAAGCACAGTCTTTGTTAGCTTATAGTTATTGTAAGGAATATGCTGCTGCAGGAGTCCTTGTGCTCCCTTGTGTTTGTTTCTCTCTGTCACTTGTTACGACACGCACGGTTCGATATATTTTTGTAAATAATCTTACACAGCTATTACACCACAAACATTATATTCGACTGTATATACTTATAATATACGATATTTATTACTACAATAATTAAAAACTAATATAGAATCATAGTCCTTATAATGATTTCTTGTATTTATAATTTACACCATAGACTTAGAACTTTACATGGTGAGTGTGTTCTACATATTGCATGACACAATAAAATTCGTAAAATTAGTTTCATTCAATCATACAGCTCTACTCCACGCGGCAAAGTGCCAAATACGCTGACTATACTTACAATTTGAACGATAAAAGAACCAACCATAAAACATTTATACACAGTATTTATAAAATATGAAATTTGACAAAGGGACTAAGTGAAAGCAGCTGTACATAATGTTTTGATTATGTAAGTCTTTATTATTTCAAAACTACTTCATTGTCTTAATAATCTATTATTATAATAAGACGAGGCCCTACGCTCCGAAAATGGACATGAAATAGAAAGGTGTGAAATACTTCAAACGAAATAATGTCGGTAGCTATAACGTACGTCTTCTTTTTTTATATTTTTATTATAGTTACTGCTAATCCTATCCCAGTTGAATTAGGCGGATTTGAAAGTTTGATTTTAAAATTTTGTGGTGGTGCAATAACGTCTGTGAAAAAACTAAGAGATGACATTAGATCCTTTTTTTCATCATCTACATGTAAAATCGAAGAAAAAAGGCAATGGCTGAAAAAAATGATATCAAAATTTTTTAGTGACTCGACTGGAACTGTCATGAAACATCTTCCTATAGGTAAAAAAGGATCAAATAATAAAATATCAGGTAATTCATCAATTCTAACAACAACTTCAACAACAGCTTCAACAACAACTTCAAGAACAACTTCAAGAACAACTTCAAGAACAACTTCAAGAACAACTTCAAGAACAACTTCAACAGCAACTTCAACAACAACTTCTACAACAACTTCAACATCAACTTCAACAACAACTTCAACAACAACTTCAACAACAACTTCAACAACAACTTCAACAACAACTTCAACAACAACTTCAACACCAACTTCAATGCCAAAGAACCAGGTTCGACGATCAGGACATATTGGGACGTTTGACAATTCATTATCATCTGACATGATAAATCTTCACGGTTTCGTAGCTGAAGTACATAACGTTGTAACACCTGATGGATATACATTAACTCTTCATAGAATACCAGGACGAATTGAGCCTAAAGTACGAAATAAAAATAGAACAATAATTCTACATCATGGTTTATTGGGTAGCTCTATGGATTGGATTTTACTGGGCCCTAATCGTTCGCTTGCTTATTTGTTGTCCGATGCTGGTTATGACGTGTGGTTAGCTAATGCCAGAGGAAACAAATATTCAAAAACTCACGTAACTAAAAGTGTACGCTCGTCAGAATATTGGGATTTTTCTTGGCATGAAATTGGATTATATGATTTATCATCTGTAATAGATTACGTGAAGGAAAATACATTGGGAAAAAGTCAAATATATTTTGTAGCTCATTCAATGGGTGCTGCTGCTCTGACAGTTCTTCTATCGAAATCACCCCAATATAATACAGTTCTAAATGTAGTAATATTACTGGCACCACTTGTATTTATGCAACAAGCCAAAGGTCCCTTTCGTATAATCTCGGAATTTCAAAGTTTCGATTATAATGCAACATTGAAGATTTTAGGCGAAAATCAATTCATGCCGTCAGAAAAATTCATAGACGTGTTATCAAAGAAATTTTGCATAGGTGATGTAAAATTGTGTGAGAACCCTTTACTTCTACTCTCAGACGGTGGTAAAGCAATACCTGACAGTAAACGTATGGAAAATATTTTGGCACATGTGCCAGCTGGAGGTTCTACTAAAACAATAATGCATTTTGGCCAGTTGATAAACAGTGGTACATTTGAAATGTTTGATGGCGGCTCGACAATGAATATTAAAAAATATGGCATTGCATCTCCACCGAAATATCACTTAAGAGAAGTTAAATTACCGGTCGCACTTTTCAGTTCGCACGATGACTGGTTATCTACAGTACCTGACATCACTAAGTTTTTATCTTACATTCCAAATCCGGTCGTCCACCACATTGTGCAAAAGAAGTCTAAAGAATTCAGTCACTTTGATTTTGTATGGGGCGAGGAAGCTCCTGAATTGGTCTATAAACACATTTTTGATATCTTGGATCAATTTTAAACTACACTGAGATCGTTTTTAAGTAAGAAGCTGAAATAATAATACGATCCCATGCAAAAAGTAATTTTAGTGATATCTGTGTAAAGGTCTTTCTGCTTTAGTATTGAAACAGTTAAAAGATGTTTTAGTAATACTTTTATATTTTACAAAATAATTATATAAAATTGCATATACAAAATAATAGATACTTTTTTTTTTGGAACAAATTAATTTGGTTGATATATAATCCTTTTGTGAATGTAGTAATGTTAGGTGTTAGTCTTGTAAACTCATCATGTAAATAAAGGAATGCCTTATCTTATCTTATATAAATATTTCCTTTAGTTAATTATCAAAGTAAAAATTTAATACTAGTAAGCAGTTTACCTGTATTGTGTTCATACATAAATTGGCAAATGGAAACATTTGCAGCCCACAAAACCACAGCCAAACGCGTAGATACTGCAATATATATGTTCAAATTTCATAGTGATCAGGGAAACAAAAGCCGCAGTCATATAGAAAGAGCATCGAAAAAACAAAGTTAAGTACATTAAATGGGATAAGGCAGTTAATTGGTCCGAATTAATATACACAGGCCCCGAATACATTAAAAAAATCTGTAAAAAGCTGTGCTAGTTTAGGGTCCAAGTGCTTGCATTTAATATAATTGTATAACTAGTAACCCACCCCGGCTACGCCTGTGTATTGTGTATTAATGTGGCGTTATTTAAAAAATGTAAGATAATCATCAGAGACCATTTACTTCATCAATTTAGAGATATTTCAAAAAACATCTAAGTTTTTTTGGACATAATATAGTCTAGATCACTACTAGGAGTGCTCTCTGTCTGTTAATGAAGTTCCATTGATGCCATTTCGAAGATGAGCCCGGACAGGCAGCCAAAAAATTTATAAATAACTAGCTGGCCGGGCAGACGTTATTCTGCCCATCTTTATCCTATTAAATTTTGTCTTATTAAAAATCCTTATATTCGTAATAAAAAATATTGAGGGTCACTTATCGGGATAAAAACTAGTTGGATGGAAATGCACAAAGTGTGCAAAATTACATTGAAATCAGTTCAGTAGTTTAGGAGTTCATCGCGGACAAACAACGTGACACGAAATTTTTATATATAATGATTCTTCATCTTGTAGGTTAGGTCTTGATGGTCTGCAAATGAACCCTCAGCTTTTTTTTTATAGGAGAGAGGGCAAACGAGCATGCGGCTCACCTGATGGTAAGTGACTACCGCCGCTCATGAACAGCTGCAACACCAGGGAGGGAATTGCAGATGCGTTGCCGAACTTTTAAAAAGGAGTCCGCTCTTTTCTTGAAGGTCCCTAAGTCGTATCGGTCCGGAAAAATCGCTGATGGTAATCGATTCTACAAGGAAGTCGTGCGAGGAAGATAACATCTTCTAAATCGCACAGTGGTGGACCGCCAATCATCCAGATGGTGTGGATGGTATCGGAAGTTCTGCCGCGATGTGCGTTCGTGAAATTCAGCGGCTGGGATTAATCAGAACAATTCCTCATAGCACTCCCCGTGGTAGATGCGAAAGAAAATGTAAAGGGATGCAACATCTCTTCGCAGTGCCAATGAAACGAGCCAATCGGAAAGGACTCAGTCGTCGACGATTCGAGCCGCTCTGCGCTGGATGCGGTCAAGTGAAAGGAGCTGGCACTGGGTGCCCCTGCCCAGAGATGGTAACAGTATTCCATGTGAGGCCGAACTTGCGCCTTGTAAAGTTGCAGGCGGTGTGCCGGCATGGAATACTGTCCCGCTCTGCTGAGCACGCCAAGCTTTTTAGAGGCCAATTTGGCCTTCTCTTCCAAGTGACCACGAAACTGCACGTCACTCGATATGTCGACTCTGAGGATTCCGATACTGGGTGAGACAAGAAGGGGAGTGCCTTAAAACTAAGGAGATACGACAAAGGGGTTCTTTTTAGCGGTAAATGCGCAAACTTGTGTCTTCTGAGGATTAAACTGGACTAGATTTAGTCGCCCCTAATACGAGACTTTGTTCAGTAGAGACTCGACTTCAGACACAAGTTTGTTCCAGTACTCGGTGACGTTTTCCCGAGAAAAATTGGCACGGCCGGTGTATAGAGCATCACCAGTGCTGTCATCCGCATAGCAATGAATGTTACTAGTTAGCAACATATCATTGATATGCAGAAGAAACAGCGTTGGTGATACAACACAGCCTTGTGGAACACCAGCGTTAATAGGCTTGTAGTCGGAGCATGCACCGTCTACAACGACTTTGATGCTCCGATGTGCAAGGAAGCTGGTGATCCAATCGCACAATTTCTCGGGAAGCCCATAGGAAGGGAGCTTCGAAAGAAGCGCTTTGTGCCAAACCCGATCGAAGGCCTTCGCAATGTCCAAGCTAACGGCCAACGCCTCCCCTTTGGACTCTACTGCCTCTGCCCATCTAAGGGTCAGGTAGACCAGAAGATCACCAGCTGATCGACCCCGACGAAAACCGTATTGTGGTCACTAATCAGTTGGTGATCCTCAAGGTACCGCATGAGCTGGCAGTTAATAATTGATTCCATTATTTTGGAGAACAAGGAGGTGATGGCGATAGGCCTATAGTTGGACGGGTCTGAGCGGTCACCTTTTTTAGGGATCGGGTGGACAAAAGCTGTCTTCCATGAATTCGGGACTACGCCTTGGGAGAAGGAGGACCGGAAAAACGCGTTAGGACCGGTGCCAACTCCGGAGCACACTGCCTCAGCACAATTGAGGGGATTCCGTTAGGCCCACTAGACTTCTGGATGTCCAGGGAGAGGAGTGCTTTGCGAACCGAGCGCTGTGAGAACAGTAGATCCGGCATGGAGCACTCACACCGCGGAATGGTCGGCGGTGTTTACCCCCGTCATCAAGAGTCGAGTTGGACGCAAAAAGGGAGCCTAAAAAGTCGGCTTTATCTTTGGCGTCTTGGGCCAGTCGTCCTCCCTGTGCAGATATGGTAGTGATGGCTCACAGAAATTTCCTTGGATAGCCTTGGCGAGAGACCAGAATGCACGGGTCCCCGAAGGAAGTCGAACTAGTTTATCGCCAATTCCGCCTATGTGCTCTGACTTTGCCTTGGCAATAACTCTTTTGAAAGACCTGGAGGCGAAGTTATACTTCTTTTTAAGTGTGCTGGTGTTTACATCCCGAGTCGCCGAAGCCGCAGCCCAGGCTTGATAACACTCCTGCTTACTGCGTAATGCAGTCTTACAGGAGCGACCAAACCAAGGCTGAGATTTGCCTCCGATGGGTACCACAGATGATGGAATAAATAGTTCCATTTCCTGTAGCACCACATCAGTGGCAGAGTCAGCAACAGAGCTGGGATCATCCGGCGAGAAGCAAACCCACCCCCATGCGTAGGATGTAAAGAAAGACCGCATTCCGTTCCAATCCGCCGACCTGTAATGCCAAACACGGAGGCAAACTGCAGAATGCAACCGGGAGGGGAGCGTGAGTGGCGCCACACTCCGGATCAGACAATGGTCCGAAGAGAAGGAAACCTGAAATCCGTCCGGATGAGAGGTCAGCAGTAGGTTCAACAGGGAAGGTGTATGATCCTCCACATCTGGAATCCGCGTAGGTGAAGTAACCAGTTGTGTCAGACCATATGCCAAGGCAAAGTCATAAACAGATCTCCCCGCACAATCGGTTAAACGTGAACCGCGCCATTCGGCGTGGTGGGCATTAAAATCGCCAAGGATCACGATCTCTGCGGATGGGACCTGTTGTAGCAAACCTGCGTCTTGGTCAGAAAGACCAAGGCCGGCTTCGCCGTCTCGAGATGGTAGGGGACGGCGTTAAGATTCGAGTGAAGTCCCACGATATTGCAGAAATTCACGGATAGCGTGGCAGGGGTCGCCTTGGTCTTGTTGCTCAGTTTGCCCCGAGCAGTTATGTTTTTGAGTGGAATGCCCCCCCCCCCCCCCCCCCCCCAGAATACGCGGGGCAGCCTGAGCACCTACGCTCAGGAGTGGAATAACATGGTCGTGAATGCTCAGCGAGGGATTCTCCAGGGGTGCTGGTACCCTCCTGGGGTAGTCTAACGCGTAATTGGGCCTCCGGCTATCTGCACTCACCAGACGAAACGCAGAAGCAGAGCTTCTACTTCACGCCGGTATTCTGTGAGTTCGTGGTACCAACCCGGCTCGAGCCGGCCCACACGTGCAACAGAAAAAACTGCTGCGTGGCTCTACCACCGTTAATTAAATCAATTAAAGACATTTAATTCGATCTTGCAGACAGACACTTCAATGTTATTAATATTGTGTATTATCTATATGTATGTGTAGATATAAGTTCGAATCTCGTCGGCAACTATTACTGAGCAATGCGGCACATTCTTTCGTTATTCGCAACCATAGACGTGTGCACAGTCGATGGATATATTAAAGGTTTTAATTTAATTTTATATTTAGAGGCGAGTCTTTTTACCAAGTGCCATTAACAATGACATCGTTTACATCTAATCAACTAAATAACGCAATAACGCAGGCACCGTTCTTGGCAATATACCACGGGTAGTAAGACTGTATGATAATTAAGTTATTAGTTTTAATTTTTTTTATTATAGTTTTAATATTGTATTATATTAATATATAAATGATTAAAAAAACTAAATATCAAAATCTAAATGGAGTAAAAAACATTTGGAACGACTAGATAATAAAGATAATGAGTAAACTTCAATGGAAATTACTAGCACAGAGTTTTGACAACCATGCTGTACACGTGTATTTCGTTGGCAGTGTGAGGGCATGGCACACGTTGTTGATTTCCCATGTGGGTGATGCTTGGTGTCAACCGTTAAAACGACACGTCAAATAAAACCGCAGCGTTCGCTCTACTGCGTTCTAGTTTAGCTTAACATTAATTGATATTAACAGTAATTGTATATAATTTAAATGATACACAAAGTTCATAAGATCCTAAGTAGCTTCATGCTTAAACGCCCGCTGGAAATTTAACAGTACGCGAAAAACACAAGTTCG